CACAGTCCAGAGGTCACTGTTCAGCTCTCAGATTCAAACCAAAAATGATTTTTAAAATCTCAGCAAAGGTTCTAATACAGTACACAGCGGAAAGACCTTTAACCAGTGACACAGACTGAGTGAGTAGGACACTACGCATTGGAGTTTTGCTTGAATGAGATCACCTACCATTGCTGCAATCAGATTCTGAAGTGGCTTGACAGGGTAAGTGCTGACAGGATTTGCCCTCTCATTGGCTAGTCTCTGGCTAGAAAGCATAGTCTCAGAATAATTTAAAGTTGAATTGAAGAGAGCCTTCATCTCAGAGGGCTGAGTGTCTTTGGAAATTCTTGCCACAGAGAGCTGAAAGGGCAGAGTCCTTGTGTATTTTTAAGGCAGAGATAGGTAGATTCTTGATCAGTACGGGAATTAAAGGTTACACGAAAAATGCTGGAAAAGTGGACATCAGGAATGTCAGATCAGCCGCAATCCTATTTAATGGCAGAACAGGCTCAAGGGACTAAATGGTCTACTCCTGTTCCTATTACATATGGTCTTCCAGTAGACTGTCGAAAGAGTCGTAACCAATTACACAGACTGAGTGAGTGACAGTGGAAAGAGCTTTAACATAGACTGAAATAAAAATCTCACCACAGACAGTTGACAGGAACTATATGGATGTTCAGTCCACTGGATTAGAATTTACCTGATCACCCAGCCAGGAGAGACTACAGATACCCACCCTACGGAAATACGGTGGAAATATCAGGACAATGACAGTGATACAGTTCCCCACCTGAGCTGGCCACCCAATGGTGCAGTTACACCAGGGACAGACCATTCCCCTGCTCCATGTGCAGGAAAGATTCAGACACCCAGCTGCTGAGACACCTGTAAACTTGTACGGGGTTACAGGAGTTGGAATTACTACTTTTTTTATCACATCCAGCTTCATCTGACCTTCATACTGCACTTTTACCGCAGTAAACCCTCCCACCGGGACTAATAAAACAAAACTGCAGAGCCCCAGACGGAGACATTCAGGCAGACCGGGGACGGAAGGAATGAGAGTGGAGGGGGGGAACCGGGGGAGGGGTAACACAGGACCCCGCCGTCACTGCTGCGTCACCACGCTAACCGCTCCTGCGCACTTCCCACTAAACCAAGATGCGGAGGCGTCGGCGTTCGACCGCGCCTGTTTCAGGGAAGAAGTCTTAGGGTCTCTACAGCGAAACCGAAAAAGCCCAGTCTGGGACTTCAGACCTAAACTGGGCAATCATGCAACCCTCTTGCTGGCGTATAGCACCAACACTGCCCTCCTCTCTAACCTTTACTCACCGTTTATGGATGTCATGGAGGAACATTTCATTCCTTCCATTGCTCCGGGCACGCATGCTCCAGTAGCTTGCACGCCGGTTTGATGTCGTCTAACAACCAATAGCAACAAGCAAGGGACGGGACTGGAACATGGCACCGGAACTGCTTGTCCACTCAGAGGACAAAGGGCAGGGCAGTCCCCAGAAACATCCATCGAGCGGAAGGAGGGGGCGGGATAATCTTCAAACCAATCAGACAGACACAGGGGCGGGGCTGGAATTCCAGCGTCGATCGGCGCGGGAGCGGGGCGGGGTTAGTACTCCAACCAATCAATGAATCAGAAGGCGGGTCTGACAAGGTGAACAGAGCATGCGCCCTCGGCGTGCTGCAGGCCAGTGGGAGAATGATTTCTGAGATAACAAGGTGCAGAGCTGGATGAACAGAGCAGGCCAAGCAGCATCAGAAGAGCAGGAAGGCTGACGTTTCGGGCCTAGACCCTTCTTCAGAAACTGGGGAGGCGGTTCTGAAATAAAAGGGAGAGAGGGGGAGGCGGATAGAAGATGGATAGAGGAGGAGATAGGTGGAGAGGAAACAGACAGGTCAAAGAGGTGGGGATGGAGCCAGTGAAGGTGAGTGTAGGTGGGGAGTTAGGGAGGGGATAGGTCAGTCCAGGGACGGACAGGTCAAGGGGGCGGGATGAGGTTAGTATGTAAGAGATGGGCGAGGGGCTTGCGGTAGGAGGAGGGACAGGTTAGGGAGGCGGGGACGAGCTGGGCTGGTTTTGGGATGCGGTAGCGAGTGGGGAGATTTTGAAGCTTGTGAAGTCCACACGGATACCATTGGATTGCAGGGTTCCCAAGCGGAATATGAGGTGCTGTTCCTGCAACCTTCGGGTAGCATCTTGGCACTGCAGGAGGCCCAGGATGGACATGTTGTCTGTGGAATGGGAGGTGCAGTTGAAATGGTTCGCGACTGGGAGGTGCAGTTGTTTAGTGCGAACCAAGCGTTGGTGTTCTGCAAAGTGGCCCCCAAGCCTCCACTTGGTTTCCCTGATGTAGAGGAGGCCACAATGGGAACAGCGGATACAGTATACCTCATTAGCAGATGTGCAGGTGAACATCTTGACATGGAAAGTCTTCTTGGGACCTAGGATGGGGGTGAGGGGGGAGGTGTAGCGGCAGGTGTAGCACTTACTGCAGTTGCAGGGAAAAGTGCCAGGTGAGGTGGGGCTGGAGGGGAGTGTGGAGCGGACAAGGGAGTCACGGAGAGAGTGGTCTCTCCGGAAGGCAGATAAGGGTGGGGAGGGAAAAATGTCTTTTGTGGTGGGGTCGGATTGCAGATGGTGGAAGTGTCGGAGGATGATGCGTTGGATCTGGAGGTTGGTGGGGTGGTACATGAGGATGAGGGGGATTCTGTTTTGGTTGTTATTGCGGGGAGGGGGTGTGAGGGATGAGTTGCGGGAAATGCAGGAGACACGGTCGAGGGCGTTCTCGACCACTGAGGGGGGGAAGTTGCGGTCCTTGAGAAACAAAGACATCTGAGATGTAAGGGACTGGAATGCCTCATCCTGGGAGCAGATGCAGCGGAGGCAAAGGAATTGGGAATAGGGATGGCTGTCCATTCTTTTTACAGCGCATTCAATGGGAAGGATTTCCAGATCTTCAGTTCCAACCAGATATCACAACTAGGTCTAACAGAGTCACCCTTTTTAGCAGCATCGCAGTGTCATCGGTCTTTCACCATGCATGAAAGGTAAAATGTTTGTATGCAGTGTCTGTGGGAAAAGATTTCTGCGATCAGTGTCACCGGAAAGGTTCTATGAAATTCGAAACCGTGTGCAGAGCAGCCCCGGAGGATGAGTCTGGGTATCACAATTTAGGAAGGAGAGCTGGACCTTCTTCGGGGTTAGCGCAGGTTTACTCCAATGATTCCTGGTTTTTATTATGAGCAACGGTTGCAGGAATCAGTCTTAGATTCATTATGAACGGAATAATTTAGCTCATTTCATCAATACCAACTTTCTGTACAGGAATGAAATCTCTCAATTTCCCCTGCTCCCTGCCCAAAGTTTATTTCACTTA